AAACCCTAAACCCAAACCCCAAACCCCAAACCCCTAAACTTCTAGCTCCCAGGCGACATGGTACCCATTGTTACCCCAATAATGGAGAATCAAATGGAAAAGAAAATGGAAAATGAAATGGAAACCTTAGGTACCCTTTAAAGGGGTATATAGGGATATTAACCCAATAATGGAGAATCAAATGGAAAAGAAAATGGAAAATGAAATGGAAACTGCTATATATAGGGTTATGAAGGGGATTATAGGGGTTATAGTCTAACTTGTTGTTTTTTTGGGTAAAGGGGCTATACAGGGTTTCGGGTTTAGGAGTTAGGGTTTTAGGGTTTAGGATTTAGGGTATAGGGTTTAGGGTATAGGGTTTAGGATTTAGGGTATAGGATTTAGGGTATAGGGTTTAGGATTTAGGGTATAGGGTTTAGGATTTAGGGCTTCTGGTTTAGGATTTAGGGTGTAGGGTTTAGGATTTAGGGATTAGAATTTGTGGATTAGGGACTTAAAATGAGTCTATACGAAATTTATGAGGGTATGGGGTACCCACTTTTTAGTATATTTGGATCTAGAGCCAGGATTCAAGATGTTTGGTTCCATCTGAGTATTGTCAGCCTTCCAGATCCATATGGTAGAATTTCAGTTCAAGAGTCCCCTGCCCCAAATGTTAAACCACCCCGCCCCCTAATATTAGATACTCCCAATATATGGTATATTACAATATATTGGGAGTATTTGCTATTGGGGGTGGGGGGTTTTAATATTGGGGGAGAGGATTAGTGGAGAATCAAATGGAAAACGGAATGGAAACTGGAGCATCGCATAGGGATATTTTGGGGATTGGCGGTACTAATACGGGCCCCGATATTCAGGGCGTACCTGATCTTGACGACCCATCATATGTTCTTCTGGCTTGTGTCTCTGGGAAGGTGATCTAAGGATCAGAGTTTACGGATTCGGGGTTGCGGGTTTTGGATGCAGCGGTTTTCATGGTCTTCCCCTTGAGGACTTTGAGATAAGTACGTCCTTCTTGTGCGGACCCTGGAAATCGTCAGTTTGAAAGCATAATGTAGCTGCGCGAGGCGCTTTGAACACTGTGGTGGCAGGGAGGTTGCACGGAAGAAAGGTAGAGTGTCCAAACTTTGCACATCTCATGAGGGGGACACAGACCGACTTGTGGGTGTGCTGCTTACTCCCTTTGAAGCCATCACAGGGGTTGGTGTGTAGACTGCAAGTCCAGGTGACTTTTTGGACGAAGACTTCCGCCGGAGAAATGAGGCTTGGTCGTTGTACCTTCAAAACATAGCAAATCAATTTCTAAGGTGTGGGGACAATGTAAACCCAAGCAATGGGGCATAATGGGACCAGCACGCTTTGCGGTACGTAGGTTAGTCTGATTTAAGGAAGTATTCTCGAAGAGTTCTTTTTCTGTCTGCAGGTCTTGCTGAAGTTCAACCGCACGCCGGAACTGACTCAACACAAAACTCCGTCCGGCAAAGTTGGGTACTACGTTTGGACCCTGGATTCAGTTAGCAGTTGTTTCAGCCAAAAAGACATGGATGAACACAACCACGGATTTTTTGCTGGGCAGTTTTCTTCATCCGTAATAATGTTCACAGCATTTTACAGCAGCACGCGGTGTGGCGTTCTTTACTTCGACGTTGTGCTGCTTCTTCTTTAACTTGGACGATAAGGTTCAAGTGCTCATAGGATGGCGTCCTGAAACCACACCTTTCAAGAGTATGAGTTGCGCGAAGGAAACCGTACGTGGTGCTTCATACTGTGCTGGATCCATCTTTGCCGTGGGAGACAACGGTTGTGGTTTGGACTGATGCGGGCATACACTTCGTGGGCGCTCTGCATGATATTTGTGTTTATGGTTTTGATATTTGTAATTACCTGCTGCTTAAGCCAGCAGTCACGGCCACTGGCCCAACACCCTGCCACGGCCCCAGGTGACATGCGCCCGCTCGTCCACGATTTGCTGCGAGATTCAGACGTAGCAGCGACGAGGACCTGGCCTTGTATGGGAGCCTTGGAGCTGTGTAGTGTAGTCTGCTTGCAAATACCCTCCAGACACTGCTGCAGCTGGCTGGTAGATGGGGTTTCTCCTGCCAGGACTCCCATGAATGAGGGCGACTTCTCGAAGCGGGATGCCTTTGTACTACTGGATGCGGATGTTCCGAGCATCATGGAGACCAATCAGATTGCAACCGGTATCATCCTGGTTCGGAAGACACGCTTAGCAGTTTCCTTTCTGGAGAGGTGGCTAGCAGCATGTGAGGACCGACGAATCATGACCGAGGAACCTTCCGTACTGGGATATCCAGAGTATCCATCTTTCAGGAACAACAACGACGACCAAACTGCTTTCTCGTTGCTTTTCAAGCTGCACGGTTTCCGAGCCTTTTCCGTCCAGGAGCGTGATGCAGTAGTGTACACAGGCCGGAATCTTGCGAAGTTTGTCAAGGCTTCTAACGACTTCGCCTTAGGTGTGACATCCGAACGCGACGCGTATCTACAGGCCGCTGACGCTGCGGCCAACCAACCCTCACCGAGCTCAGCTGTCACCTAAGCTGCCTGGGAGTATGTAATCAGATTTGCAATGCCAGCTCTTGTTCGTGGTTCACCGTTCTTCTTGCAGTGGTTGAAGTGAAACTGTGCAGCACAGCAGCAAGACGCGGGCAACATCATGACAAGAGGATGGCGTCCGCGTTCACCTGGAGCATGACACCGCGTTGATCATTCATGATTTCCGAGCAGTTGAAGTTTCTGGCCGGGGATCCATCGAGATGGCCTAGGACAGGAATGGCTCGTGACATGTGCTGAAGAGGAAGGTCCTTTACAAGGTGGCAGCTCATGCACGTCGTCTTGCTTGGCCGCGCTGTAGAAGCCTCACGTCCCTGCACGCAACCTTGAAGACGATCCAGTCATGAATCTAGAAACTGTTTGCAATGGAGATGAGGACGTTTTATCACCTGAACAGTCGCGCGGCAGGAACAAAGGGAACGCCAGCACAAGCATCGAATGTTCCTTGTAGAGCTATGCAGAGCTCGGCAGGGTGGCTGAAGTCACAACCTATGTGGAAAGTCTACTTGCAGGACACCCTCTGACAACCGGGGTGGCGCTGCTTCGGACAGTGCCCGCCTGAGTTGCATGATGCCCAAATCATATTTCATCATATTTCTAAGTACTGGTTGGAGTTGCGGGGCAAAGTTCATGGGAGAGTATCATCAGGTTCTGCCTGCAGCTGACGAGTTGTTGAAAGATGCTGAAGGCCGCCCTGCTTCAGCAGATGTCATGTACCTAAGCAGAAATTCTAAGTCTTGTTGTGACTGCAAGCTCAGTTGTGTGCCTGTGGGGTCCCGAAACCTGAGGCAGGTGGGCCCAAGGCTAAAGAGAGCAAATGCAGCTCTTCCAAGTATTCCAAGTACCTTCCTGTTGAAAGTCTAGCAGCAAGCCGCCCCTGTTCTGATCCGTGTCCACGTTGCTTGCTTCCTGTGTGTTCAGGTGGCTATCCAAGCCTCGCGCACAAGTTCACGTGTGGATCACAGGTTGACCCGGATGGTGCCGTCATAGCTATGCATGTAGCACACGGAGCGAAACTAATCATGTGTAGCAAAGGCCACATGAGTGCATGAGCATACGAAGGGGGGGAAGATCAAGAATTCACTGCCAAAGCTGCCAAGTCAGGTCATCCCCCAAGTTCATCTTTCGACCTCGAACTGGGCGTGCCCACAGCGCTCGAGATGCTGAGAAGCCAAGTAATGGTAGCAGTTTGCAAAAAACAGGCCGAATGGAAGGAACAGTATGCAGCAGCTGCATCTATGCCCACGCTGCTGTACTAGCGACAGCTCCTGTAATTCTTCGGCTTGTGTTTCCTGATCCGCAATTGAAACAAACCTGAAGTGGTCCTTGCTTCTTGGCTTGTCACCCCTTCGCCAGGTATTAACTGGAGGCTGTTGCACTCCCTGGACCTGGACAGAATAGTCCGAGAAGGTGATGTTGACACCATTCAGGCAGGTGTTGGGTATGTAACTTGTCCACCTAAGTTGCTTATGTAGTGACTGCAAAATGGGTTTTGGGTATATAGTACGGCACCTAATATTTGGGGTACCATAATGGGACCCTAATTTTGGGAGGAACTCAAATGCTGGAAGGCTTACATGGACAACATCACCTACTCGCGCTTCGGCCGTGAGGATTTGGAGATGACCAGCGATGACTGCCTGATCAAGGTTTGGTCTAGGGAAGTAGGGTTTAGGGATTAGGGTTTGAGGTTCAGGGTTTCGGGCTTAGGGTCTAAGATCCCCCAACAATACAGGGGTAATTTAGGTAATATATTAGGGTAATGTAGGGTTATCTAGTCTACATATGTATATGGTATATGTATATAGGAGTATATAGGGGATCAAAAAGGATATATGAGGAATGGAGAAGCACATGGAAGCTACTGTTTGGGGTTTAAGGATATTACCCCAACAATGGAGAGTCAAATGTAAACGAACATGGCAAGTGAAATGGACATTGGGGCTTACATAGAGGGATGTATGGGGATCACGCAGATGACTGTAGCACTGCCCTCCATAGATGAGGATCCCTGTTATGGAGATCCCTAGGTCAAAAGAAGCCCCCACCCTGAACCCTAAACCAAAACCCTAAACCCTACGGAAAAGAGGAGCTCAAAAACAAAAAGCCTAATCCCACATTTGGGAGGTGGTGCAGCTGGCGCAGCTCTGCATCGAGTTTTTGAACTACATGTGCGCATCCTCACAGCAGCTTATTCAGGCCCGGCCACTGCTATGCAGACTTTGATGGCATATGCTGCAAGAACCAGAATAGGGTTATACAAGTTATATAGGGTTATGTAGGGATATTACCGCATATTGGGTTATATGGGGAATAATGGCAACTACCATAGTAGGGGTAATAGAGGAGATTACAGGGGGGCTGGGGGAATAATTGCCCCAATAACGGACGCTCAACTGCAAAAGAATATACAACATGAACTGGAAACTTGGCTCCTACAACTTCTGTGCATTGTGGAATCAGCTGTGCTCGCAGTTTGGCCAGGGGCTGTCCGAACGTGTCCGTGTCCAGGCCAGTTTGCTGGAGATGTTGATGGTTGACACCCGATAGCGTTCATCATCAGCAGCTACCTATATACTTAAGTCATATGACATCCACCAATCCAATTCGTTGAATTCTGACGGGCATAAGCTCGGCTCTACCTCTCATTGTGCCATTCTCAGCCACCTACCATTGAGTGGCCTGCTCCGCAGCTGGATCAGCAGCATTGAGCCAAGACAGCCGCAGAATGCGAACTGAAAATAAGTCATCAGCATCCGGTGTTCCCCCTTGTGTTGGATAGTACGTGACGAGCTTACTTGTCGCTCCTTGCCATTGCCTTCCTGCGCCTTGTCTGCTGCAGCGATGGAGTTGGGTGACTTGAAGGCGCGGGCCACTGTTAAGTTCAGAAGTGCGTGCTTCGAGCATGTACAAACTTCCTCACGCTTCTTTCCGTGTTTTGGATTGCTTTGCCATGATTCCTGCTGTGGAGAAAATCTTGGTGAACGGCGTGTGGGTAGTGGTTCAGTGCGAACCGCTTGAGCCTGGCCTGCTTCTTACAGTGCAGAGGCCTCTCAGCCTTGAATGCCTGCACCAACTGCCTCTGCGTGAGGCACCCAGCCCGTGAAGCAGTTGCAACTCGCCACGCAGCGCAGGCGCGGCGGATTGAACTGGTGGTATGCGCCTCTCAGCACAAATCTTTTGGCTACAGTACAGGCCTCGCCAATTTGTGGAGGCACCAGCCAAAGCCGGCATAACGCGTTGATGCAGTTTGTAGCGTGCAGTGGTCTCTTGCGGGAGTGCATCCGGATCAACGGCCGCAATAGCAATAACATTTGGCTGCTAGTCCCGACGCACCCTCTGATCAGGGATTTTCTGCACCACGCCAGGCGAAAGCGGTGGCTTCGGCAGTGACCGTCAGGCACGGCAGAACATCAGAATTTACAGACGCCATGGAGAGGGCTTGTTTCAATTCTTGCTTCATGTTTGCCACGATGCGGTGCCGCTGGAGGCCAAACCCGACATTGCTCACGAGCCTCCGCAGCCGCAATGAGACACAGCTGAAGCGGCCAGCAGGCCTGTCGGCCGCTTGCCCGAAGAGTTTCGAGTAGCGCAACCGTGCCGCTGGCAGGTGTAAAAGGATTTGGGCACAGTTGGAGGCCCAGCAATCTCCTCGGCAAGGGCTTGATTTTCCTGTTCCTGTGCTTTGTGTTTGCATGCCACCTAAGGCGATGTAAAGGCCAAAGATCCCAAGATGGGGCAGACCCTGCAGCCTCGAGGTCACAGCAGTCCTTCTTACCCTCAAGGTCCAATTCCAATCCAGACACCCGTGCAGGTGGCAAATTGCCGCCAAAAGGGCCTGTGGTCCGACTTGCTGGGCCTGTGCAGCGCATCTTGCGAGATGGGGCAGCACCGGTGTCCACCACTGAAAAGAAGGTCTGCGCTTGACAGCTTGACAGCCAGGAGGTTTAGTACTTAGCGCCAGGTGAACTTGGCAATGAAGGACAATGCCAAGAGTGCCGGCCA